CACGACGCATCAAATAATTCTAACCACGCCCTTCCTTCCGCATTCCGTTCTTTCCCGATCGTTTCGAAAAATCTACCGGTTCAATTTTCCCGTATTTCAGCACGTTCTACGGAACGACCAAAGTTATTCTGTTTACAGTACTTAAACCCCCTCTCGAGCAAGTCCGTCCGATGAATATCAGCTTGGAAGGTTCGACGAGACGAAAAGGAAATGCCTTTTGCGTTCACAATGGATAGATCGGTTTTTACACGTCGGGTAACGCGATCGTTATCGACAGAGACTCGGTGTGTTCGTCGAGGCAGTAGGCGCGGTGTGCGCAGTTCTGCACCCATAAAGGCAAATGGCACGCGTGGCGCTTAAGGATAAACACTTGCTTGTCCTGGAATAAGTCTTTTATCGTTAAACTCGAATCTTTTTATCGCGTACTTTGGGTGTAGAGAAAGAACATTGACATACGTTTACTAACGAGTAACGAAAATTCCTTGATTCTACAGGTTTCTTGTGTGTACGTTATTATAATTCATTTTTATAGAATTTATATACATACTTGTATATATATATATATACCCGTTAATGGATGTTTGCCTGGATCAAACGTAAATAATTACACAATATCTCTCTCGCTCTCTCTCTCTTTGTCTCTCTGTGTGTGTCTGTACAGCTAATTGTGAACTATACAATTCGTTCGACTCTTTACCTTTCTCTCGGCGCATGAAGGTAATACTTTTTATGGATATAGGTTACAAGAGACACGCGAATAAAAAGCATCGATGACATAATACCAGTGCGTTCGTGAACCTGTATTGCCACAGACCTTCGGGTGCTACTGCACATACGTAACTAAAAAACACGAAGCATCATCTCGCGCATGCAACACGATAATTTTTTCAAGACGGACGGCATTGCGTAAAGAGTATATCGTCTCGAACGATCGGAAGGAACGGTATGTTTCTATTGTCTTCGAAGTTATATTTCGTTCTGTCCGGCACAACAGGATAATGTAATGTCGGTTAGCGGTCCGTTATCATATACCTCATCCTGTTCTCGACAGTGTACGAGCATTGCATTTTTAGTTCGAACTTATGGAACGTTCCAAGAACGATGGTCATTCGTAAATGGAAGTTCGACATTCAAATGAAACAAATTCTAGGTGGCTTCTTCCCGGTTTAGCACCGTTCGAACAAACGTCTGCTGCGGGTAAATAGCGAAAGCGTACAAGCGACTGATTTTTCGTACCGATAAGAAAAGCGATAAGATTGCTAATCGTCGCGATCACATGTGTCACATTATCAAGAATTTCAGTGAAATCTCGCGATTATAAACGATAGACAGGGAACATTCACGATAAATTATTTACTTGGTGTATCATGTAATGTCACCGTGGGTTATGTAAAATGTCACCTGTTGCTTGTGTATATTCTCTCTAATGGTCTGTTCCGATGAAATTTGACGGATTAGACGAAAATGCGCGTGTCTTTACAGGGTGGACTGACAATCCATCTAGCTATTTCGCTTATGTAGATTACCGTCCAATTGACTAATTATAACCGATTGTTGGTGACACAAGTACATATATCCGGCATTGATTTGTATAAAATAACGGAATTTGTATAAAGATCGTGAATTTAAAAATAAAAATTTCATAGAATCTACAGTCGACCAATAAACTATTCGAAATAAAAACGAAGTGCGCGTAACTCCGCGAACAAAAAGCTGAAAAAGCTTACGGCTGTTTACAGGGAAATCGTGTTTACCTTTTCCGTTCCATTGTGATTCACTGTTCAATCCAATATGGGAATATTCGTTCGGAATACGTTATCGTTGAACCACTGCGATGAAACAAAAACGTGTAACTCGTCTTGACGAATTTAGAAAGCTCTTGTCGAAAAAACCATCGGACGGGAATCGAAGCACATGGTTCACGTGTGGTGGTATTGTAACGGGTGCGCGCACGCGAAAGTTTTCGCGTACGTTTTTTTTTTTGTTTCTTTCCTTTCTTGTTTCGTTTGGTACGGTCTGTGTGTGGTGGTATTGTAACGGGTGCGCGCACGCGAAAGTTTTCGCGTACGTTTTTTTTTTTGTTTGTTTCTTTCCTTTCTTGTTTCGTTTGGTACGGTCTCAGACTAACTGAAATTCTCTTAGGCGGCAACGGTCAACGGGAAAGCTGCGTGGACGCAGTTCGAGCGACGACGGCTGCTCGAAGACTACGAAACACCGCCGACGCGTTTTAAGCCGTCACCGAAACGTCAATTACGCTGCACGCATACTCTACGAGAAGATACGGCCCCATCGGCACAGGCGGAACCACACACTTGACTTTCGAATTCGATTCTACGTCGGTTGCCGCGACCTTACCGATCGAAAACGTTTTATCCTCTCTTCAAATCGACAAATGTAAACAGAACGGGCGAACAATTTAACAGAAAATATTGTAAATATATACATACTCTTTGTTTCACGGGTGTGAACTCTGAAACGATTCATTTGTTGAAAATTTTTATTTTCAGTTACCACTTGCGACCGCAAAAAAAAAACAAAAATAAAAATGGTCACGTGAAAGTGCCTGCCAGGAAAACATCGAGACGAAGTTTAAATAGCATTATGTATCGTTATGACTGGCCATCGTGTGTGCGACTCGTGACGCGCATTAATTATGATTCTAAATTATATTCGGCCCGTATTTGGTATCCGCAAATAGCTTCATATTCGTGAATAGTATTCCAACCGGTGACGCAGCCGGTTTTAATTAAACGGCTGCTCGACGAAACGATTATCCGATTGTTTGACAAGTTTGGTACAATGCCGTGATTTGCATTGTTTCGGTAGCGTTAGAAACGTTTTTTCCGTGTCAGTCTTCTGCGACGATAATAACGCGAATGTTGTTATGCTGTTCGTGATATATACGAAAGTGCATTTTGTTGTGTAAAAATCAAAATAATATTAAATTGTTGGTAGAGTAATATTTCGATACGGAAATACACTGATTGCGAATCTTATTTGAAGGGAGTATGTACATACAGGGAAATCCCTCTCTATAGTTGCGTTACTGCGAGACTGGCCGTGCGATTACAGAGAACGGTGGAAACGATTCTGCAATGGCTTCATTGATTAACGACTGGTCATTTATTTTATCGACTTCCACTCGATTATCAATATTCCCGTGTCTTAGAAATTATAATTTGTAAACTTCAGATGTTTCTGTGAATTCATTGTTTTATAATCCATTTTTCAAGAAGGTAAATTAGAGAAATATTTACATCGCTTATGGAATATTTTATTAGATTAAAAGTGAAATGAAAAACTTCACGAAACATTATCAGAGGTTCCATTAAATTTGTACATTTACACATGCCAAATGTATAAAGTTTACAGTAACAATTAGGTTAAATTTCGAATAACGGTTATTCACTTGTACCTCAGTTATTATGCAGTAGTAACAAAAATTGTACTGATTTTTATGATGTACAATATTAAACTGTGTAATAAAAACACATTTTGTAATAATAATGATTAAAGTAAATAGATTGCTGATTTCACGCATTCATAACATTTTGTGAGATTGTGAGACCCAATAAAATAACCGAAGGTTGTGATAATTCCTATTAGCAAATAAATAAAGAGAAATTATATGTATAAGCATTTTTATAATTAATTATTATTTCGAATGTACAATATGTGCAGACACGTTTGAATCACTGTAGCTTGGGTAGGCTTTGCTTTGGGACATCAGAACACATCTATAATGTATATCACTGGTACTACGTGTTGTTTAACTGGTCATCATAGTTCAATGTGTCACTACAGTAGACTTTAATAGCTTCAAAATACATGTCGAACTGTAAACACTACGGCAGACTTATTTTTGACATTTCTAATATCTATATTTATCAGATTAAAAACTAATGTAAAATATACTTAATTTTAATGAATAATTTGCCTTTCTGTTAACAGTCCTACAATTTATTATCAGGCAACAAAGTATAACATATTGCATATATTTATGAAAGTAATGTAAACGATATTTTCTATTGTAGAGCTATGTAATATAATTGAATGGGCTATATTTCCGAAAACCGGTCATGCCCGATTTGACTGAAATTCTGCAAATACCTTTATTTTACATAAAAACAACGTTTGCGAGAGGGATTTTTAGCGACACGAAAGTGAAAACCTAAAATTTTGCAAAACTGCTTAATCCAGACCTTCGCTTTTCTAAACTTTTGCAAAAAATGTGTTACTATTGTAATGACACGTTCTATGTTACCGATACAGCATTATAAGTAGCCATTCGTTAAATGGAGTCCCTTCTATTGTACATTGGCAACGCCCCTCGTTCACACGTATTTCTTACACACGTACGCATACCCCATTCTGTGCCAAGTAAGAAAGGAACGCAATGCATACGGTGTCGCGTTTAACTCGCATATTTTTCATCACAGAAAAATTCAATTCAGTAAAATGTTTCAATACTCAATAAGTGTCGTGAATAAACTTTTCTGATATCTCTAAAAATAACAAAGATAGTAAGGTGATCAAAAAGTCCGTACATTGAGCCCACCCTAATATAATTGCGTTACACAAGTGAACGACGATTGGAAGGGAAAGAACGCGGGTGATTGGCGTTCGATTATTGTACTATTCCTGGAATTCTAGCCCTCTACAGCCCCGAAATATACAATAAAAGAATGTCTACTGTATCTCGCTGCGGTTAGGATTTTGTGGTCGGTACAGTAGAAGCTATCATCTTATAGGACTTCGTGTCTCATGTTCTGAAATACCGATAGTGTAAACAGTCAGGGATTTTCTGCTGCCCTCTACGTTATGAGAACGGTGAATTTGTGAACTACGTTAAATGTATTCGAACTCAACTAGTCTAACTTCTACAGTGTGTCGAGTCTAAAGTACGCATGAGTGTTCGGTACGTCGGAAAATCATCGAAGGGATCATGGTCGTGAACGGATTCTCTTCCGTCTGTTTGCTGTAAAGTAGACGTATTAGAAAGGAGTCTTGGGTTGCAGTCCCGACGGTCCTATTGGTTTTTTTTCGCGTACAAAAAAGTTATTGCGTTTAATATTGCTTTTATGAATATGTATATGTATTATGTACATTTGAGTAAATTATTTTATTATTCCATTGTTATTACAACAGTTTAACAGTGACAACGAACGCATGTATATTTTCAAATATCGGACTAATACTATATATTTTTATTCTATATTATTACATATAAGTGAGTAATACGTATCAAAAACGTAATCGAAACGCAGATTTTTATTACACCACAAACATCGCATGAAAGATATTTCGTTATGTTGACATTTGTAATAATTATGGATGTTGTGGGCAAATCAATATTATTGGCATTATGGTACATATAACGAAATATCACTGTAACACTTAAAAAAGTTTTGAAGTTCCATTTATATCACTGTCCTGTGAAAATGTTCATACTTCCAGCAGCATTCATATTCCAATCAAAGAATTTACAGAATAAGGAAAACGAATCTAAAGTAATTTTCAGTAGTTCCATACGTCTTTATTTCGAATAATTTTCTAAAACATTCAAAGTACTAGACATTTTTACACTTTGAATCTCATATCGATTTCTAAAATAATCCTAGTTCGATGTAATATAGAACGTGGTTTTATGAGATAGATTCGATGTTCGCAGCCATTAGCTCGATATTTTCATCAGTTTACAGTACTTTACCGATGACAATATCGATTGCCCAGGCCTCACCACGAGGAGGTTGCTGCGAGTGGAGGCCCAAGGCAGGTAGATGGAATCACAAGTTCTACATCTTCCCACCTTTCACAATAAACCTTATAAATAACTTAAATCTTAACTATGTAATACTATCGGTACTAAAATCCCTCGGCGGATGACTTCTTTCTTGAGCCTAAACCTATAAAAAACTAAGTTCCCTCGTCGGTTGTCTTCGTTCTTCAGCTTAGAACTAATATTATCTTAATATTCTAATTAATACGAATTAATGCTAGTAATACGAAATAACAAATTTAACGCAATGTAGTCGCTAATACTCAAACGAAAGAGATAGACGGAATGGAAAAAGTTCCATCGATCATTTCGTTTACGCACCTAATATACCAAGCCAAAAATTAATTCTACGATGAACCACGTTAAACTACAGTATGAACAAGTATCGCGATGAAAGTGTTGTCGCCAGAACCTGGTTTAAGAAAATAGGAAAGACGGGCGCAACCTCGCAAACCCGAATCCATCTCTCACTTTCCAGGCCCTTTGGGCTGGTCACCTACGTACCAGACCCGAGCACAGGTCATGACCAAGTATGGTAGTGCAAGCGAGATCCCCTGTAAAACAGAGTCCTTTTACGGAGCAGACTCCCGACTACTCCGTAGGCGGGTACGTTGTACCCAGGCGCGCACGAGCCTTTACTCCAAATCCTACTTACCAGGCAAAGACTAAACACGTCCGATATCTGGCTTCTCAATAGAAACCAGAGGGATCGGCAAACAGTCTTAGTGCACAGGCCCACTGCCCGTACCATAATAGGTACAGACCCACTGCCCATACCCCAAGTCTGTGTAGAGAAATCAACGAGCAAAATGAATTAATAATAACTTGGTATGCACAATGGCTGATCACAATTTAAGTCTATTAATAGATAGACTAAAATTAATAATAAACGATGTGATGATGAATATGAATATAACAATGAATATCGAATTATGATTTAAGTTTAACTTACAGTAACTTAACGCAGTGGTAGACGCACGCTTTGAAGATGTAGACGTTGATCGATGTCTTCTTTCGATGGAATAACTGTTTGGAAAAATATTTTTCATTATACAATACACATAGAATACATAATATGCACAGTAAATAAATCACAGTAAATAAGAAAATAAATATCGAAGCCAATGGTTCTCGAACATCTGTAACATACAAGGAATTAGTAACAAGAGAGGGGACACAACAATATGCACAGTATATAGATTAGTAACATGCACAGTAAATAAATAAATAATATGCACAGTAAATAAATCACATTAAATGAATCACAGTACATAAGAAGATAAATATCGAAGCCAATGGTTCTCGAACATCTGTAACATATAAGGGATTAGTAACAAGAGAGGGGACACAACAATATGCACAGTAAATAAATTGATGGTTGTCGAATGCCTGCAACAAACAATGGGTTAGTAACAAGAGAAAGGACGAGTATGAGACGCGCGACCACCCTCCGCGACGGTTCACGACAAAGTGAGGAAGCAAGCACAGACCTGCACGGGATGGTACGACCTTGGTACACGGCGTACACGGCTAAGTCAATAAACTGGGTGACGCAACTCACTAGCGCGTTGGATCGACGGAGAGCACCGATACTCGGCACGCTCTACCGTACTCTCTCGCTCGCACACCTCCCTCCCATAGACCACCGAAATTCCTCGGCACCCGTCAACACCGACGGAGAGCACCGATACCGCGGCTCGCTCTACCGCTCTCGCTCGCACGCCGTGACGTCACCCGATTTCCGGAATCCGCGGCTACGAAATGGCTCATTACGGTAAA